CCCCACCCACCACCCAACCCCCAAGTTAACTTTTTTATTGCGGATTCGGGCTCCTCTAGTGCAGCGCAGCACAGCCCCAACTTCAAAAAAAAATAAAAAAAATTCCTTGCCCTGTTTTTGCGTCGCCCGGTTCACCCGGGCGGACCCCCCCGGAGGCAACCGGCCGGGGTCCGCCCGGCTGGGCACGCCCGGCCGGGCACCGGCCCAGCCTAGGGGCCCAGAGATTTCAACCAGTTAAACCACCACTCCATAGCCACTGCACTATTCATTTTTCTTGTCTACAAGTACCAGGCCAAAATCTACAGTGAGCAGGCCCAGTACAGGTTCCGTGGGGAACGGTGGCACAATTACTTTTCTTCACAGTGGCACTGTAGATTTCAGGCTCGGCGTCCTTCGGGACATCCGTTAAAATTGGAACGATACAGAGAAGATTAGCATGGCCCCTGTACAAGGATGGGAAAAAAAAAAAAAAAAAAAAAAAAAGATTTCAGGCTCGGCGAAATGCAACTCTTGGTTTGTCAAAACAGGTAATGATGGAGTGATGGTGTTTAACTGTTAGTTCAAAAAACTGTACTGGCCTCTGAGACTCAGTGAGTGTCAGGCCAGTGTCAGATGGGCCCAAACCTGACCCATACCATGGGGTTTGAATGGACCCCAGAGTCCCAGACTCGGTTCGGCCATGGGTTTGGTCACATTCACAGACATCTCAACCAGTACCGACACATTTGTCATTTGGTCGGATACTCGGCGGAGTTCCCAGCATATATCCAGCTTCGCGCCTACACATTAGTGTGCCCCCAAGATGATGAGGTGCCAAACGACTCCGTCGATATGAGCTCTCTTGGGAGTCATCAGCCTGTTAGTTAACCGTCAGTTCAAAATGTACTGGCCTCTGAGACTCAGTGCCAGGCTGGTGTCAGATGGGCCCAAACCTGACCCATACCAAGGGGTTTGAATGGACCCCAGACTCCGTTCAGCTACCAGTTTGGGCAGGATTTCACAGACGTTTCAACCTGCTACGTTCTTCCCCCGAATACCAACACACGGTCATTATAGCTGTATTTGAGGCATGTTTCAGTCTAAAATTCTAAATAGTAAATACAGCTATAATGACCGTACGTTGTATTCCGGGGAAGAAGGTAGCTATTGGTTTGAACTTTGAACTGTACGGTGCAGTCAATTTCTCACCCAGCTCTCGTTCCTCAACTTTCCGAACCATCTCCTCCTCCTGAGCACAGAGGGGGCGCAATTTGGCACGTGTCCATGACCTGCTGTAAGATACATACATGGGCCTGAGCAGGCAACGTGAGTTGCCCGACTACGACAGCCATGACTTACAGAGAGGTAGCTGAACATACATGCTGAAGCACATGGGAGAGAGAGGCACATGAATCGCCGGTGATGTCTACCAATAGATACGAGCCCTAGGCAAAGATAGAGTGTCCTCTTGTTGCAATTCACTTATACAGGTGAGGGAGCAATGCCGCCGATGCATGAAAAAAAAAGACAGAAAGGCCAAGAATCGAACATGAAAGGAAAAACTTACCTGAAGGTTCTGGAGCAGAGGAGAGGTTTCAGCTCCTGTGTTGGCCTCTAAAGCGTCCATACCGTGAACAAATGCCTCACAAAGCGGCGTTGCTCTCCTGGCCTGTCCAGAATGGCAGCTTGCGACTCTTTCAAATGCAACAACCGCCGATGGGAGGTCGAGTCCACGGCTGGCATCTGGTGGGTGCTCGTCGATACGCAGAAAGCCCTGTCGCATACCAAACGAGACGAACGCCAGATAGAAGATCCATTTTCAGAAGCTTGCTTTCTCGTGCAGATCTCGCACTATGGAAACAGATCAACAGAAGACTCGGCGGATACACGATGGTGACTCCCCAGGAAATCACACAAGTTCAGAACCAAGGGGACGATAACAGACAACAATAGAAGAGCATAAACAAACAACAGAGGTCCTCGAGGCAGCAACGCGCCCACAGACATCGACACCACAGACATCAACATCAGCTCCTAGTGAGAGGCAGAAGAGAAAGAAGTCAACAACGGCGAAGTTCACATATCAACATGGCAGACAAGACAACCAAGTTGATCTAACCCATCTTCGCCGAACACAATGCACCCTCACCCTCGTGAATATAAACCACCTACTTAGCCTAGTATAAGTCTGGTGTCATTCCCATCTTCCGCCGAACACCATGCACCCTCACCCTCGTGAATGTAAACGACCTACTCTTGTTGAGGTCCGGTACGTTAAGGAGAAGATGGTAGCAGGGTAGTAATGGGTAATTAACAATGCAGTGAATGCACTGTTATGCACATGATTAACAAAGAAGAACTTCAAACAAAACTCGCCGCCCCGGGAGACAAGATGTCTAAAAACCTTGGAGTCTACCGGTAGAAATACGGTTAATCAATCACCCCATCCATACCTCTGGTGGGTGCACATAGAAGACGTGAAAAAAAAAAACTGTAAGCTAGACCAGAGCCAGCAGGGGTTAGTATGTCACCCAAACCTTATCCGCAAGCAGTAGGAGTTCAACCTTGAGCACATGGGGGTACATCAATCAAACCTTGTGCACATGGGGTCATTAATTTGCTAAGCAAATCTCTCTTGAGAGCGAGTGAGGTATGGGGTAAGAGTTGGGGAGAATAACTTTTTCAGGGGGGGAAAGAAAAGGGAGTTGGGGAGAAGGTCAGGAAAGTAAGGTTAGGAAAGAAGGTTGGGCGAAGTACCTTGTCGAACTCTAGTGAGATTGACATTGTCTTCGTTCCGACAGGCAGCCGCAGCCGAAGTTCCATCACCCAGGGGGATAGCCTGTCTTCAGCCGGGACAAAGCGAGCCAGGTTCAGGACTTTCTTCAATGGAACCAGATGGCCATTGACTTCAACGGAGAGCGTGTGAATGTATAACCGGATATACCACGGGACCATCTGGAAAACTGTCACATACACTCCTTCTCTACTTGACTGATCCCGGCGCCTCAATCCAGTGGCTTCGCCCTTCGACGACTCCAGCACAATGTCAGCATCTTGAAAACGACGCCCTTCGTCCCCACTCCATCCAGTCGCACACTCGACAAGGTCATTTCGCAAAAGCCCTCCTTCACTGTCGGAAATGCGAAAAACAGTTGAGATACCTCCCCTATCATTTCCGTAACCAGTAACGAAGCTGCTGACAGATATCGGCGAACCCGGTGGCAACCAGGCCATGGGCCTCCGCCAGCGGAAGGACAGGTCGAACGGCAAGGCCATCTTGGAATTATCATCAGGTCTCTTCAAATCGTACTGCAGAACAGAGGACCCTCGGCCGGTTGCTCGTCCATCAGCAGGATCGGCGGCACAGGCTGATGGGGACTCCACAGGCGGCATACTCTCCTCTCCCTCAGTTGGCTCACCATTGGCGACCATGCTGCGTTCCTCAGACGAACTCCCGGAGCCACACCTGGAGACCGGTTTCTCTAGGGAACGACTCCTCGAGATCTCCTTGATGGCACTTGGTCTCGGATGGACCTCATAAACTGAGTTGTTGACCAGATTCCCTGCACCTTCCCACTGCCGCAAACCAACTGGGTTGCCATCCTCCCTGCCGTCACCTTTCCCGATTAGGAAAGCCCTCCGAAGTCCGTCATCCACCTCCAAAAAGACCCTGCTCTCCTTGGCTACAGGACACGGCCCGCCGATGTTCCTTCCAAACAAGGACGACAGTGACCAGTCCCGCTGGAAGACTGCCCTGTCTTCCCCTCCATCTAACCCCCATGAGTCTTGATTATTGACCCCTTTAGGCAGACCAGGCTTGAGTACAAGCGTAAGCGACTGTTCGACAACAATTGCCCTGCCCTTGTAGCCTGCACCCGTAGGGATATCCTCCCCTTCTTCCGCACGCACATGGACACGTAGGGAATGATAATAACCCCTGTAAATCGATGGTCTGTCTAGCAGAGATGCTAGACCCGCCTTGTCTCTACAAGGAAGAAGCTTCAGCCATGGCGTGAGGTTCTCTGTGCAGACACTCTCCCTTGGCAATGCCCCATACCGCACAGGGATATCGCAACTTTCCTCCGCCCTACCGCCTTTCCGAGATCCCTGCTCTTTTCCTCTTATCTGTGAGCACTGCATTTCGCTCCGATCTCCTCTTTGATTTACACATGCCCCCCGTTCCTCCCCGCTGACTCTGCCAGCACTCTCCGATGCAGCCACACTCCTCCCGTTTCCTTCACGCCTGTGTGTACCGTTGCCTTCTCCGTGGAGGTCTGGCCGGAAGAGCAAAGTCGGCGATGCGATCGTAGCCGTGTGCTCAAGAAAGTTTATGGAAGCACAGAATAGCCCTGATAGAGCATGTGTTAGATTACGCCATGTAAGATCCACCTGTAAGCAAAATGCAAAACAATTTCCTCCATGATCATCCCGCTCAAAAAAAAAAAAAAAAAACATCCCGCTCCACAATGGCAACAAAAAGACATTCCTAATAAGACCCCACCCTCCATCACAACCAGACATTCAAGCATAAGCAGACCTAGCGTCTTCACCCGAATAGAACGCCCAGTCATTATGCCTGTATCCAGACTGAACGTTGCCCCAAATACAGCTATAATGACCGGGCGTTCCATTCCGGTGAAGACGGTAGTGAGGGTCATGCTACACCTCAGCACCAATGTGTTAAGCCGCCGCTCCCATTTGCACAATAATCACCTTGATGATGGTTTTACCACGGGATCTCGACTTCGGAGTCGTTCACTAGAATTGCAATCATACTCGTTTTCAAACACACTTTTCATGCATGTAAACAGCAACGCAGCATACTGGCGACATGCGCCCACACAAGACTCAGAGATATGGCTTCAGATATGAGTTCACTCTCAAATGGCTATGGCGACTTCAGCGCCCAAACAACTCACTGTTCACATACACTGGATCACCCTGGATATCCCACACGCATCCCTCTAACACTCCAACACTTACACACCCACTCACTGCTAATTACAGCTATGGCAGCTGTCACTGCATCTAACCCTAGCGC